AGAGAGAAATTGAGGTCACCATGCAAAATCAGCAAAGACCGGGGCAAGATATACTTTGACATTCCAGTGGAAAGTCTGGCTCAGGTTTGAATGAAGCAGTATATAAAATAGTTTTCTAAATTGATCATTTTGTGCTTATTTACTAGTTTATAGACCCCTGCTCTTCTTTGCACTTTCCTAGATTAGGTGATTTCAAAATATCACTGCATTTTCTGTTTGGTACTGATTTGTAAAAGTCTCACTACGTTTTTATTGTATTCTGTATATTTATAAAATTAATTTCATAAATATATTTCAGTTTGCTATATTTTAGAAGTGATAGCAGCAGTTTGAGATGGTTGAATTCACTGAAAAGAATCCTATGGAACTTCGGAAGAAATTCTGAATAGCGGCTATACTTTTTTTATTTATCTCTGCATCTAGTTGAGGTTTATAATTTGGTGATAAAGCATAAAAGCAGAGGTTTTCCTTCAACCTGTGTCAAAGATGTTTTTGCTCAAAAGTAATTAAGAATCACTACACTGAAGTGAAAGTCAGCAAATTACTCACCTACTATAACAAAAGCCATGATACATTTCATTACTACACAAGCAACATGAGGGCATGGATTGTTGTCTGGGTTTTTTTTTTTTTTTTTGCCAGTATATCCCAAGCACTAAGTGCCTGGTATATAGTAGGCACCCTGGAAATATTTGTGGGATGAATTGGCAATCAAGAATTTTTACATCTAAATTTTAGTTAATACCCTCAACAGCTTCATGAAGATAGGTACTGTAGTTGACTGAGTACCTGACCCACATTCAACTGGTCATGGCTGAGCTGGAGCTTAAATCCGTGCTCTTAGTGACTATAATACATGGTATCACCATAGAGAGCCGTGAGGGAAAGATGATAAAGCTTCACTTGATTTTCTTCATTTTTCCTTTTTCCCCAAAATTCATGTTGCCCACATAACAATTCAAGCTTCTATCGTTTGATCTGTCCTTCTTTTTCTCCAAGGAAAAGCAGAAACTGGTAGGTAACTGAACAGATGGAAGACTAAAAGATAGGGCATTTTTTAAATAAAAAATATAGATATCAGGATGGGATTATGACTCAGTGGTGGAGCACTTACCTAGCATACATGAGGCACTGGGTTCGATCCCCCGCACCATATAAAAATAAACAAATAAAATAAAGGTATTGTGTCCATTTACAAGTAAAAAAATATTTTTAAAAATTATATGTAGATATCAAGTGCTTTAAAACCATTGTACTAATTTTTTAAATATTTAATTGTTGATAGCTTGTGTTACTCAAAAGCTTTTTCAGAAATTAGTTTCTAACAGTTTTTTTCTCCCCAGGTTCATTGTCTGAGATCAGTTGATAATTTATTTGTGGTTGTTCAGGAATTTCCAGATTACCAGTTCAAAAATACAAAGGTAAGCTATCCTAAACATGATAACTGATTTTTTCCATCTTCCTAAAAGACATTATTTCTACTTTTTCACAGTCTATCTGTCGTTTAATATTACTATTGCTCTTTGTTTTTATTTTATTTTTCTAGTACTGATAATTGAATCCAGGTCATTTCACATGCTAAGCACATGCTGTATCATTGATCTCTACTCCCACCCCTACTTTTATAATAAACAGTCAGACTTTCTTTTATAGTAAGAATTCAGAGATTTACTGACAGTCCATCTCAAAGTTTGCTTTTAAAAATCAGTATTGAGGCTGGGTGCAGTGGTACACATGGCATAGGCCTGTAATCCCAGCAGCTCGGGAGGCTGAGGCAGGAGGATCTTGAGTTCAAAGCTAGCCTCAGCAACAGCCAAGAAGTAAGCAACTCAGTGAGACCCTTTCTCTAAATAAAATATAAAATAGGACTGGGGATGTCGCTCAGTGATCAAGTGATCCTGAGTTCAATCCCCTGGTACAAAATTTAAAAAAAAAAATAGTATTGAAAAATTATTTGAAGAAAATAGAAAAATTATTTGACTTACCCAAGATGTAAACTTTAAATGAGCTTTGCTAACACATACACACACTCATTTCCAAAGTAAAATTGGTTCCACAGTGAGAACTTTTGTGCCATCTACAAATAACACTTCCTCACTATTCTGTTTTTTCCCTGTTTTTTTTTCTCTAACTTCATTTCTTAAAATAAAATCAAAGTAATATTTAAACACTCCTTCAGTTGTTAAGACAACAGCCTTGTCTTCAACATGTATTTAGCATCTGAGTCCTAAATATTCAGCTGCTGCTTAAGCTGAAGGTTGAAAATAGATTGCAGTACAGCTTTAGATTTTTTCCACATTCATTTTTGGTCAGGTTTCTAGAGTCAGATGCTTAAATACTTTTTTTTAATCAATGTTATTCCATGTCTTAGAATTATTCTTTCTTAAAACAGCTGTGAGTCAGGTACTGTGCTGTACACCTGTAATCTCAGCCACTAGAGAGGCTAAGGCAGCAAGATCACAAGTTTGAGACTAGCCTAGACAACTTAGTGTCTCAACAACTGTCTCAAAATAAAAAATAACAAAGTCTGGTGATACAGCTTAGTAGTAAAGCACCCTATGATCAATCCTTAGTACTACACAAAACTAACAACAACAAAACCCAACTGGGAGGGTCGGGTATGGTGGCTCCCAGCAGCTCAAGAGGCTGAGGCAGGAGGATCACAAGTTCCAAAGCCAACCTCAGCAAAAGCCAGGCGCTAAGCAACTTGGTGAGACCTTGTCTCTAAATAAAATACAAAATAGGGCTGGAGATGTGGCTCAGTGGTCAAGTGCCCCTAATTTCAATCCCTGGTACCCCCACTTCACCCCCTACCAAAAAAAAAAAAAACCCAACAGGGATATGCTGCTTAAAAACCAGTCACACTGATATGAACACATAGTCTAGAAAAAAAATAAAACTAGACCTTAAAGAATTCACACTGAAAAACAGATTAAAAGTTTATTAACTACGAATGTACATTTAACCCTAGTAACCTTCAGACTTTGGATAGTCATTGCGAATTGAATCATACCTATGAAACTAATGGATAACAGACAATCTATAGACAATTTTTGCTGCTAAGTATTTTGAAATTTTGATAGTCAATACTATACATACATGTTAACAGGTGGTTTTTGTTTTTTGGCTTTTTTTTTTTTTTTTTTTTAGTGCAGTAACTGGGTATTGAACCGAAGGCCTTATGCGTGCTAGACAAGCATTCTTCCACTGAGCTAAATCCCCAACTTATAATAGGCATTTTTGAAAATCTGTGTTTCCACATAACTTAACTAGGGCATTATTAAATAATAATTTAAAGAAATCCTTAAATTCCTGCATTTTTGCATCCTAAAATTGGTATTGCTCTGGGCAATTTGGATCTCTAAGTGGAGGTGAATTTGATAATTATGGAATATTCTACATGAGTTAGCTTTTCAGAGTTGCCTTGTAAGTAACTGCAGAAAAGGTTCCTGGTAGAAGTCTCCAAGGAACAGCAGTAAGGATAAAGGCAGATTTTCGGAGGTATGCAAAAGAAACTTCTGTGTCTGATCATGAAATATTATCAAGCCCTTCATTTTGTGAACTTCAGTCACAACATACCTGGGTAAAACTCATTTTTAAACATGTGCTTCTAGCTTTCATGCTGTTGACAATTGAGCTTATTTTTTTCGTAGACTTTGCAGTATTGGGGACAAAACACTGGGCCTCACACATGCTAGGCGAGCACTCTACCTCTGAACTGTATCCCTAGCTGTTTTCATTTTATTTTCAGACTGTGTCTTAATGAATTGCTTAGGTTGGCTTCCAATTTTTGAACCTCCTATCTCATCCTCCCAAGTAGCTGGGATTACAGGTGTGTGTGTCATTATACTTTCCCTTGTCTTATAAAAAAAGCCTGTTAGTTTAATCATGAGTTCTCTAATTATTCAGATATCATGAATTTATTAGTTCCTCCCTTTTTAAAAAAATATTTTTTCGTTGTAGATGGACACAATATCTGTATTTTATATATTTTTATGCAGTGCTAAGGAACAAACCCAGGGCTTCACACACTAAGCTACAACCTCAGCCCCTCCCTCTCTCTTTTTTTTTTTTTGAGAGGAGCAAGTCTATGATTTATATGAGTTGTTTTTTTGCAGGGGAGTGCCAACCAGGGATTGAACTTAGGGGTGCTTGACCACGGAGCCTCATCCCCAGCCCTATTTTGTATTTTATTTAGAAACAAGGTCTTGCTAAGTTGCTTAGTGCCTGGCTTTTGCTGGGGCTGGCTTTGAACTCATGATCCTCTTGCCTAAGCCTCCTGAGTCACTGGGATTATAAGCATGCACCACTGCGCCCAGCCTTATATGAGTTTTTAACAACTAGTTAATACATGTACTTAGAATGCACTTGTATAAAGACTGAAAGAATATCAGTGGAAAGTCTTTGTCCCTTTATCTCCATGCCATGAAGTTTCCTCACAGTAGGCAACTGCTATTACCAATTTCTTGGGTATTCCTCTAGAGATATTTTATGAATATATATATTTCATTTACTTATTTACTGAAATGGAAGCATAGCATAATACTGTTTGGCCGTGGTTTTGTCACATTTACATTATACATTTTGCTTTCTATTTTTAAAAAATCTCTTTATGCACTTTTTTTTTATTAATTGTTCAAAACATTACATAGCTCTTGACATATCATATTTCATACATTTGATTCAAGTGGGTTATGAACTCCCATTTTTCCCCCGTATACAGATTGCAGAATCACATCGGTTACACATCCACGTTTTTTACATACTGCCATTCTATTGTCTGTTGTATTCTGCTGTCTTTCCTATCCTCTACTATCCCCTCCCCCCCCCCTTTTTTTTTTTAATGTACTCAGGTTCTTTATTTTGATTCCTTTCTTGAGCAACTTATTTTTGTTTTGTTTCTACCGTGCGTGTGTTTTCTAATAGTTTGGAATATTCCTGTCTGGTTCAGGCCATTACTTTTATAACTTCAACTTGATATTTTGTACTTAATCTACTAATTTTCATGTGTTTTTTTTTTTGATTCCCTACTAAGAGCAAAGTTGAAATTGATTATTTTTCTCTTCCCTTTACCTTTCAACTTTATTATTTTTCTTAGTATTGATCTTTATGCCTTTAAATATATTTTATTTATCAAGTCTAACTTCTGTTCTTTAACCTTAGAGATGAGGAGAGTAGCATGCTTAAATTATTTCTCATCTTCTTTCACAAAAACCCTTCCAACCACATGCCAATTTATAATGTTTACTTTCTGTTTTACAGTTATAAACCCCACAGTTGTTTTTTGGGTTGTTTTTAGTACTGTAGTTAAATAGATTAGAGGTGCATTCCTACCCTACTTATATTTTTCTTTTTTATCTTTTGAATGCATGCATGAAGTCAGAAATGTTTGTCTTTGACCTTTATATTTGGTTAATAGTTTGGTTATAAAATTTGGAATTTTTTTCCTTAAAAATATTATGGTTAGGGGTGGGGTTGTGGCTCAGTGGTAGAGTGCTTGCCTAGCATGCATGAGGCACTGGGTTTGATCCTCAGCACCACATAAATGTAAAATAAAGATATTGTGTCCACCTAAAAACTTAGAAAATAAACATTAAAAAAAAAAAGTATTATGCTCATTCTCTTCTAGCATTAAGTGTTTCAGTGGATCATTCAGGAAAAACTGTTAACAGCTGGGCACGGTGGTGCACACCTTTAATCCCAATAGCTTGAGAGGCTGAGGCAGGAGGATCTCGAGTTCAAAGTCAACCTCAGCAATTTAGTGAGGTGCTAAGCAACTCAGTGAGACCCTGTCTTAAAATAAAATACAAAAAAGGGCTGGGGGTGTGGCTCAGTGGTTAAGTGCTCCTGGGCTCAATCCCCAGTACCAAAAAAATTTTTTTTTAATTTAAAAAACACTGTTACCAATTTCTTGTGTTGTTTTATGAATATGTGTTTAATTTGCTTTTTGTGTGTGTGTGGTGCTGAACCCAGGTCCTTGTGCATGCAAAGCAAGCACTCTATGGACTGAGCTATATCCCCAGCCCTCATTTACTTATTTACACAAATAGAAGCATAGTATACAGTATCTTTGCTCCTTGAAGACCAGATTTTTTTTTTTTTTTTTTTTTTGGTAGCTTCAAAGCCTAATAAGTTATTGGAGTGTGTTTCATTGTTGACAGTTCCTTATCAGTGTATATTAATCCATTTGTATTTCTGGAAAGTTTTCTTGATTAATTGAAAATTTTTTGTTTTATAATTTTAAATCCCTTTTTTAGGGAAACCAGTTATACATATGTGGGATCTCTTTTGACTCTATTTTATATTTATCATTTTCTATCTAATTCTTTTTAACTTTTTTGCTCATTGTCATTTTATTTGCTTTGCTTTCCTCCACACTCTTTACTGTGTTTTCAGTGGTATCTTTTCTGTTTCTTAAGTATTTATTTTTCAGTTGTAGTTGGATACAATATCGTTAATTAATTTATTTATTTTTATGTGGTGCTGAGGATCGAACCCAGGGCCTTGCCCGTGCCAGGCGAGCACTCTACCACTGAGCCACAACCCCAGCCCCATTCAGTGGTATCTTACATGTGTTACTGTCAGTATGGTCTGTGATAGTTTTATTTTTTCTATTCCACTTTTAAGTATTTTCTTTGAGTTCCATTTTCTTCTGTGGCCCTCCACGTTTTCTTTCTGCTTTTATATCTCTGTTTTGAGCTCATATTTACAAAGGTATTTCCTCATTTCATGTTTCTGATGTCATTGGTTTTTTTTTTTCACATTTTTTATTTGTGCATTATAATTGTAATGTCATTGTGTTTGATCAGTTTTATCTGCTCTCTGGCATTACTGCTTTTTGACTGCTGTTTGTTTCCTGTTCATGTTTCCTCTTTTTTCCTTTTATTACTTTCATATAAGTCCTGTGCTGACAGGTTTTGATAATTGCTTATCTTTTAGTGAGGGAGTTCCCCTTGGATCTGCTATGTGTAAAATGTTCTTGTGGTGGGAGAAGCCATGTAGGTGTTCCAGGCCAGAGGGAAATCTTTCTTGTCAGACACATAATTATGGGTAAATGAGTTATTTTCTTTCTTCTTCTTCCTCTTCCTTTAAAAAAAAAAAAAAAGAGTATGGTTTTATTGAGGTATAATTTCCATTCCATTGAATAAGCTTTTAAACCTTATTTCTCCTTAACCTCAAAGGATCAGCAGGGTTATTCATAAAGCACAGCACAATTGCCCTCTGTATATCCAGTTTGATTCAACCAACTATAGGTTGAAAATATTTGAAAAATGTTGGGTTCTTTACTGATAACAACTATTTACCTACCATTTATATTTTATTAGGTATTACAAGTAAGCTAGACATGATTTAAAGTGTACAATAGGATATACATAGGTTATGTGCTAATTTTGTGCCATTTTACAAACTGTAGAGTTTGGTATGTGCAGGATCTCCCTGGCTCTACCTTATCAACAGACTTATTCCAGCAAATATAGCATGTCTGTGAGATCTTTGTTCAGCTAACATTTTTCTCCCCTGCTATTGCTTGGTACAAACGGAGTTCAGAAAAGCTCCCTCTACAAGTACATGTCCTTCTTTCCTGTTATTTAAACAAAATTTGTTTGCTACCTGCTTTGTAGACTGTGCTTTACTCTTTGTCTGAGATCTGTAGACCTCCTCACTCTCCATGTCTTCCTGTACATTCTGTTTCACCTTTACTGCCCTTAAAAATCCTTGTGTTTTATTTAGTTCAAGGTTATAAATACTGCACTGATTCAATTAAGATAAGAGTTATAGGGCCTGGGATTGTGACTCAGTGGTAGAACACCACTTAGCACGGGTGGGACCTGGGTTTGATCCTCAGCACCGAATAAAAATAAAGGCATTGTGTTGTGTCCATCTACACCTAAAAAAAAAATATTAAAAAAAAGATGAGTTATATTTGCTTTTTCTTTTAAAACAGTTTCTAAAGTTACTAAAGATTCTATGACACCATGTTAAACTAACCAGTCCTCTAGAGGCCCTTTATAATAAGAAAGTTATTTGGGGCTGGGACTGTGGCTCAGTGGTAGTGTTCTTGCATAGCACGTATGAGGCGCCCGGTTTAATCCTCAGCACCACATAAAGAATAAACAAAGAAAGGTATTGTGTCCCATTTATAACTAAAAATATTTTTAAAAAAAAGAAAAAGAAAGTTATTTGTAAGTAGAATTGACTTTGCTAAGCCTGCAGTTTAATACTGTGTCAGCAGGTTTCAAGTTTTGCCAAATCACAGTTCCGTTGGTCAGCAATGATTTTTTTCTACTTTGATCTTTGTAACATATACTGTACGAGATGCAGTGGCACACGCCTGTGATCTCAGTGACTGGAGAGGCTGAGATAGGTGGATCACAAATTCAAGGCCAGCCTTAGCAATTTAGTGAAGCCTTAGGAGACTTAGCAAGACACTATTTCAAAATAAAAATTAAAAAGAGTTGGGGATTTGTTTCAGTGGTTAAGCGTCCCTGGGTTCCATCTCACGTAAAACAACAACAACAACAACAAAAACCTCATATACTATTAATATCTGTGCTGTGTAATAGAACTTTCTGATGGAAATGTTCTATATGTTTGTGTCCAACATCCTAACTACTAGATGTTAGTGTGTATAATGTGGTTAAAGTAATGAAAGAACTGTTTAATTTTCTGTTAACTTTAAATCATTTAAATTTCAGTAGCTACATATGACTAGTGGCTGCCCTATTGAACAGCATTATTCTATACTTCCCATTTTAACTTTTAATCACATATAATTTAACAGCTGTTTATTGACCACCAGAACTGTTCTAGGTGTGTGACTTATAGCAGAGGTCAAGGTAGATAAAGTTCTTTCCACCATGTACTTACATTCTGGGAGGAGCCTTAATGGTGAACAGTACATAATCCTAGTAATCTTTACAGTGCTCAGCACTGCAAGAAAATAAAACAGTAAGAGAATGACTTGTAAGGACTTCTTTAAATAGAGCAGGCCTCTCAGGATGTGCCTTTTAAGTTTAAGTAATGAGAAAGGGGCCTACAATGCAAAGAGACCATGCAAAGCAAATATCTTCCAAGCAGAGGTAGGGAGAGAGAGTTAGACCTGAAATGTTGTAAGAGAAATAGACAGAAGTCAGAGTAAGTTGGGCTTTGTGACAAATTTAGATTTTCTTTCAGTGGAAAGCTGTTGAAGGGCTTTAAATAAGAAAGGGGTATTGCTAGACTGTTTATAAAGTTGACTCTATTTAAAAATTAGAACATTTTTTAACCACATAAGTTTTTTTTTCCTTTAAAAAATTTTTGTTTTTTAAAGTAAATACATAATACAACCTAAAATTCAAAAATTCCAAAAGGAAGAAGAAGATAAGTGTCATCCCTCCCCTGCCCTTCATCTACCTACCTCTACTCTTCAGAGATAATTTCTCACAGCTTAAATTTTAATAGTTTCTTACTGCTTAAATTTTAGCCACAGGATTGTGGCTCAGTAGTAGAGTACTTACCTGGCATGTGTGAGGCACTGGGTTCAATTTTCAGCACCACATATAAATAAGTAAATAAAATAAAGATCCATTGACAAATAAAAAAGTATTTTAAAGAAAATTTTAAAATTAAAAAAAAGAAAGAAAATTTTAATCTTAAAATCCTGCTTCTGATCTAGCATTTTGTCTTAGGCTACTCTTCAGTGGCTTAATATGTATGTTTCCTTGTCATTGAGATTTGAATTTGCTTAATTGAAATTATTTTATTTACTGAGAGAAATGAATGGGTTTCATTTTTGTCATTTATAGGAAGAAGTTTTAAAGGATTTTGAAGACTTGGCTGGAAAACTCCCATGGTCAGATCCTTTAAAAGTATGGAAAATTAACACCAGTTTCAAGAAAAAAAAAACAAAGCGCAAGAAGATAAATCAAAATTCCAGTAAAGGGAAGATTGATAATGGACAAGGAGACAAATTAGATGAGAAAGATGTTAAAGAATTCACCAACAATGATTTAGATTCACACATCTTAGACTATTATGAAAATCCAGCCATCAAAGAGGAGGTATCAACATTAGTAGGTGATGACTTGGCATCTTGCAAAGATGAGATCGATGAAGGCTCAAAAGAAGAAACTGAGCTTCAAACACTAAAGTTTAGAGTCACATGCAACAGGGCAGGAGAGAAACATTGCTTTACCTCAAATGAGGCTGCAAGAGATTTTGGGGGTGCTGTTCAAGATTATTTTAAGTGGAAGGCTGATATGACCAACTTTGACGTGGAGGTAGGTGCTGGCTCTGATTCAAGAAGATTTTTGTAGATTTGTAGACAAGCCTAGTATCAGGGGCAATTAGGCAGGGAGGATGTGGTTACAAACAGCATGTGCTGTGGAGAACCATAGATCTAGATCTAGATTTTGACTCTACAATTATATAAAATTGGACGAGATTGAGCTTGTTTCATATAAAGCCAATACACCTTTAAGGTTGCACTGAAGGTTAAACAAGATAATACATTTAAAGTATTTGGTGCAATACCCTGGTATATGTTAATTGTTCATTAGATGCAAGAAGTTATCAAGACTCAAGTTTTCCAATTTCTGATCTAATGCTTTTCCTCCATCATGTGGATTATCAGATTGTAAAAATCAACTAGAATTTTAAGAATTTGTTTTTGTGTGTCTGGTTGTAGAGTTTTGCTATTTAAAAAAAGAAAAAAATAAATAAAATAAACCTCAACCTCAGATCAGAACATCAGGGCTAATAACATTCATCCTAGAGCCAGCTCTCCTTTCTTAAATTCTGCTAGGTTCCCCTACCCTGATACCTCTTTTTAGCATGCTTAGTCTCTTTGTAATTACCCAGTGGGTAATTCTTATGTGGGCAATAGGAACTAGAGCTTTTAAAATCTCTGACAAATTAAAAGGCCCCTAACAGCTTACATTTTTACCAAGATGTCATTTCTGTTACTTTTGGGACATTTGAATCTGGGGCAAGTCACTTACTGCCTTTGTTTTTTTTTTTTTTTTTGCATGTCAGAGAACAATTCTCCATAAAGCTGGCATGAGAATGAATAGGATAACTAGAAGAATGATGTCCAAAAGTCAGCAAGGTAGCTCAGAGTACAGATTCTGAAGCCAGGCTACCTGTGTTTAAATTTCATCTCAGTTTAAATTTCAATCATTGCTATATGATTGTGGGCTAGTGACCTGGTATCTTTGTGCCTCAGATTCCTTATCTAGCTTGGATGGGTGAATATGAAATGAGGTCATGAGGATAAATTATGTAGAATAGTGCCTTGCGCATAGGAGTGTCAGCTGCTTTTATTGGTAAGATTGTAATGAGGAAATTTTAGGTGAAAGATTGGGAAACATTTTATTTTTATTTGTAGTTTGTTAGGAAATCATATGGCAAAAATAGTACATTGGAGATCATATTGCTAAGTGAGTCAGATTTTTGAAAATACTAAGAAAACAATAGATTATAAAGCAAATGTTACACTGTGTTAATCTGGGTGAAGAATAATTAGGAGTTCATTATGCTAGTGGTCTTTGTAGCACTTCTGTATGTTTGACTGTATGAATTTTTTTTTCAAAAAAGGAATTTAAATTATATTTAAAAGATAAGCCTTCACAATTCATAAACATAAAATTGGGGGAAAATCTGGTTATAGTCAACTTATAAATACAGAGAATGAAAAGAATAAAATAAATTTTAAAATTAATCACAACATAATATATACTATATTATGTGAAATTTAAAAATTGCTGAAGCTAATTTGTAGTAGTGAGTATAGACTAGGAAGGGGACAAGGGGATTCTCCTAGGATGTGAGAAATATTCTGTATCTTCATCAGGGTATCAGGGTAGCAATTATGTAGTGTATATAAAGGTAATAAAAACTCACTGATGGGCTGGGGATGTGGCTCAAGTGGTAGCGCGCTCGACTGGCATGCGTGCGGCCCAGGTTCGATCCTCAGTACCACATACAAACAAAGATGTTGTGTCCGCCGAGAACTAAAAAAAATAAATATTAAAAAATTAAAAAAAAAAAAAAACCTCACTGAGCTGTATACTTAAGACTCATGTAGGGGCTGAGGTTTTGGCTCAGTTGTAGAGCACTTGCCTAGCATGTGTGAGGTACTGAGTTCGATCCTCAGCATCAAATAAAAATAAATAAATAAGGGCTGGGGATATAGCTCAGTTGGTAGAGTGCTCGCCCTTGCATGTACAAGGCCCTAGGTTCAATCCCTAGCAACACACACACACACAAAGTTGAAGTAAATACATAAAATAAAGCTATTAAAAAAAAAAGACTCATGTACTGTACAGTGTGCAGAGTATACCTCAAGAAAAAAGTATAAAGGGCTGGGATGTAGCTCAGTGGCAAAGCGTCTGCCTTGCATTCGCAAAGCCCTGGGTTCGACCCCCAGTTCCAAAAAAGACAAAAAAAAAAAAAGAACCCCACCAAAAAAAAAAAAAGATTAAAAAAAAAAAAAAACCTTTGGGCTGGGGTTGTGGATCAACGGTAGAGCGCTTGCCTAGCATGTGTGAGGCCCTGGGTTCGATCCTCAGCACCACATTAAAATAAATTAAAAAAATAAAGGTATTATGTCTAACCAATAAATAAATAAATCTTAAAAAAAAAAAAAGTATAAAAGCCTCCAAAGTATCAGTAATAAGAAACTGGGGACTATGGCACATTGATGTAATCCCAGCCAATCAGGAAGCTAAGGCATGAAAATCACAAGTTTGAGGCCAGCCTGAGACCTTGAGTTTGAGATCCAAACCCTGTCTAAAATAAAGAAGGGCTGAAGGTGTAGCTCAGTGGTATGGCCTCAATCCCCAGTGCCACCAAAAAGTCTTAATAAAAGTACAGTTTGAACAAGCTTGAAACTTACTTCTGACCTAACTTAATTATAGGTTCTCTTGAATATCCATGATAATGAAATCATCGTGGGAATTGCATTGACTGAGGAAAGTCTCCACCGCAGAAATATTACACATTTTGGACCTACAACTCTTAGATCTACTCTTGCCTATGGGATGCTCAGGTAAGGGAGTATATTTTTTGCTGTACAGATCACAAGTGGCACCTTCCTTTATATTTTCCATTCAAAAAACTGATATATTTTTTTCTTTCCTTTCGTAAGATGTTGGAATTTAGTGGATAATGAAAAGGATTAAAAAACTAATGATCTGTTACCTTCCTTAATATCTAGTATTGACTCCTTGTAATACTAAAAATATCATTTAATCAGTTTCTCAGTTTTCTTGATTGTTAAATTAGGGTGATTAGTTTTCATCTGCCTCTTGAATGGCATAGCCACATTTCTATTTAGAAAGGATATATTGTATGTTGGGAGATAGAGCAGATTTTGTTATTTCATTTATGTGCAGTAAAGCAGATGAAAGCAAAGATTTTTAGAATGTGCATAATGTGTAACTGAATCTAGAAATTTTATTCATATTTTTAAATGTTATACTGAACAGCAATCCAGGAATCATCCTGGAATTTTCCAGTTTTCAGAGTGCAAGACCCAGTTTTCCCTTTCCTTGGCCCTTTTCCCTTTTATTGAGTGCTTCCTTCCACCACTCAGACATTTATCTTTTCCAAACTTCTGATTTTGAAACTACAAATTGGGTTTAATGTGGAGACTTTTCAAAGGATTATTAATGAAGATTAAATGCAGAAACATATTAAAGATATCATTGTGTATGTGTGTGTGTGTGTGTGTGAGTGAGAGAGAGAGAGAGAGAGAGAGAGAGAGAGAGAGAGAACAAGTTTTGTTTTAGTTTTGTTTTTTTGCAGTGCTGGAGATCTAACCCAGTGCATGCTAGGCAAGCCCTCTACCACTGAACTATGTTCCCAGCCCTCAAGATACCTATTATATGCAGTCCTTACATGTCCTAGTAGTTAAATGACTATGTCCTTCCAATCTTTGCTTCCTCTTGTATTCTGCTCCTCATATTTCAGCACAGTTGGAACATATCAATTCAATGACAATAATAGAAAACTGGACCCATCTGATTAAGGAAGAATTCCTAACCTTCATTCATTTAACAGACATTATCTACCACCAGGTATTATTGTAGGAGCCAGGGGTACAGAGAGTTATTTTGGGTGCAAATATTATGAACTTAAGTAAACTACTTTAGAATAAATAAAGTGATGATTATATCAGGGGATAGGCCGTTATAAGAAGTCATATAGAATCCACCCCAAAACAAAAGACAGACAAACAAAAAAACCAGAAAGCCATGTCTTAAGAGTAGAAACTAGATTATGGAAAACCCCCAGAAACCTAGGCAGCTGCTTTTATCTCTCCTGAGAGCCTATGGGCTCTTGTCTCTGCTCATCTGTGCACATTGCTGCTCCCTCATATAAATATATATATTTCCCATTTCAAATGACCAGCCTGTATTACTGAGGGCTTCTTACTCTTTATTCCAAATTCTTGGAAGAGAGGATGTGAGTGATGTAGTTCATCAGCAATGGGTCTGCCAAGGACTCTGTTGCAGTATGTTGAGGCATAGGAACAAGAAGGTAGAGCTGCACCCAAGAAGCTGTCTTAGGAGGGATATAATTACCATGCATGAAGTAAGTAATGTCACAGAATATGAAAAGATTAGGACAAGAGAACGGAAGAGAAACTTAATGTAGATTGGTGTTCCTTCAAGCTACTGTGATAGATCCTTAATCTTTTAGCTTTAGGAATCATTGTAGAAGCCTTACCTTTTGGTTGAGCCTCTTCTCATAGGCTGTGTTTTGTGTTTTTATTCTCCAGGCTTTGTGCACCTCAACCTACTGATATAATAATTGATCCAATGTGTGGAACAGGGGCAATACCAATAGAGGTAATAACTTTTCTTTAGTTTTTAGATGAGCATGCAATCTGTCCAGAATGTTATTTAAAGTATCCAAGGACCAAGAGACCAGGTAGTGATATATCTACTGACTAGATTACAGAGAAGGCTGAGAATTATAAGATGCTGAGCGCCCTTTCTGTAATAAATAATCCAGTAGATTGCACACGAAAAGATCATTGAAGGCATAAGCATAAAGTGGAGGAAAGCATTTTTCATCTCTACATAGTAAGATTCTTCTTTTAATCTATTTATGTTCCTGGAGTGAATAAGTATAGTGTTTAAAAGGGAGATCTACTGGGGTGTAGCTCAGTGGTAGAGCACTTGCCTAGCATGCACAAGGCCCTGGGTTCCAGCCCCAGTGCTGTGGGGAGCATGGGAAGCAGCGGTATCTATAAGCATTATTTGGATTTTTCTGGGAAGGCTGACAGGCTGTATACCAAATGCTCTTAAATAGCTTTCACAGTTACTGTGATGTTGAGAAGATACATAAAAACCACATAAGGCAAAGCAAGAAATGAAAAGGTATTTTCTAAGTAGAAAACATTTAACAGCGTTTCAGTGAATCAATATCATGTATGCATTTAGAAAAGATTTAGATGGGCTGTAGCTGTGGCTCAGTGGTAGAGTGCTTGCCTAGCATATGTGAGGAACTGGATTCGATCCTCAGCATTGCATTAAAAAAATAAAATAAATAAATAAACAAAATAAAGGCATTCTGTCCATCTACCAAAAAAAAAAAAAAAAGATTTAGAAAAGGAAGCTCACAGTAAAATAATTTAACCTGTGTGAAACATAATAAATTCTTCCATATAGTATACCAAAAGCCAGCCGGTAAAACTGCAGGAAGATCCCACAGATTCAATGAATAGGCAGAAACTGGACAGATAATCAAGTTCAAAGCAACCCACAAAGAGAAAAATAATCCAGACCGTAATTAGAAAATTATATATCCATGATTTGGGAGTTAAAATCCAGGAAGGAAATCATAGTAGTGACTATATGCTCTGCTAATAACAGCTAGAGAAATTACTCTTGAGACCTGCATAGAGAAAAACCATTTGTGGTCAAGAATAATTTGGGAGCCAGGCGTGATAGCACATGCCTGCCAATAATACCAGCTACTTGGGAGGCTGAAACAGGAGAATCAAGTTCAGGGCCCACCTCAGCAATTTAGCAATATTAAAAATAAATAAATAAATAAAAAGAACTAGGGATGTAGCTCAGTGGTAGAGCACCTCTGGGTTCAGTTCCCAATACCACAAAAAAAAAAAAAAAAAAAAAAGAAACATGACACAGTGGTGTTCTACAGTGTTAAACCATGATGTCTGTAAAATATCAGGTAAGGCTACTATATCAAGAAATGTACCATAGAGCTAAAGAACAGAATCAAAATGAAGGCAAAGAATTTTTTTGAGCCACTTCCATGTAGACATAAGGTACCAAGGTACAAGGTAGGAAAACCTAAGCTGAGATATGATCAAAGTGAAAATTGTAAAAGGATTCACAAGGTATAAATGCAGATTTGTTCATGTAGAATATTTGCTTTAAAACTTGGAAGTACTATAAAATGCATCTTTTTCTGAAGTAGAAAATCCAGATTCATTTTTTTCAAAATATATTGGGTAGTCAGAATCATGTGAAAGACGTTTTAGACACTGTAGGTTCCTTCTACCTCCCTGCCCACCCAAATTCTGGCATACTTCAACATCCCTTTTGTTTCAAGTCATTGTAAGATTACAGACTGGAGTTGTCATTACTCCAAAATGTGTAGGCAAAATAAAAAGTTATGAAGTACTGTATTCATGGAGGGGAGGTGTGTTTCCATTCACAAAGGATGTAGTGTTCGTTACTCTCTGATTTCATGTTCTGTTAATTTGCTTAGAAACATTGTTCAGCCTCAGCCTAGGATAGTATATCACCTCATTCCACAAATGATATGTGACAGCTTGGTATATAAATACCATGTTCTGCTGACATGTTTTCAATTTTAAAATTACAAAATCCTTTCAGTTGATAGAGTGATTATCTTTCAGAAGTCTATCTTGCATTGGTAATGGCACTTTATTTTGAAACTGTTAAATGTTTGAATAGATAAGATTAACTCCCACAATCCAAAATGGTTATGGGTTTGGCCAGTTCTGTTTGGACAA